GGTTGATAAGATTCAAATAGTATAATGAGAAGGGCTAAAATCATCCCCAATGATACCCATATTTAAAGTACATCTTAATATGAGGGGTTAATTCTCAAAATCGAATTTTTGTGTTGTAAATACAAATATTTTCGAAGTGACTTCAATGTCATTCCAGTGATACTCATGTTAAAAGTAAATCTCAACTTACAAAAACTTTATCATCAAAATACTACATGAACTCTAATTGAACCCGATCCTTTACCAACAAGTGGGTAGAGTTAACAAGGATCATATATTAAATATAAGTTATTTAAATCCTCGACGATGATTATGTTGATAAAAAATCTCAATCGAAGATGACCACATTATTTTAAAAAATAATCTAAAATGTGAAAAATTAATCATTTAATGTTCTAATTCCAACAAATTTACAATTTAACATCTATCAAGATTTAAATGAAATTTTGACTCTTAACAAAACACAATGGAGAAAAGGAATTCATGTAGCCGACCCCACGTAGTGGAATAAAGGCTTGATGTTGTTGTTGTATCTATCAAGATAATATTTAATGTAAAATCTATCTTCTCTAACTTCAAGTGAAATTCATTCACCCTCTACAACTGTTTGTCGAGGGCAATAAATTTAATAATAACTTCAGCTCATAAAAAGGTGGTATATTATCAAGAATATCACTAAGATTCTTTTCTTTAACAATCTACCACTGGTAAAGAAATGACATGTGTCCTCTAATTGATGTTTTTGCTATAAAATGACACCACAAATAAGTGGTTATGACCTGGTGGTTTTGCCACAAATAGGCACTATTATATTACGATCATGACTCATGACTAAATCCCACATTTTTCTCTGTAACTAACACCTTGAGGATTAAATTATAGGTATGCTTGATAGGGCACAAAGCCCTCTATTAGCTAAGATTAACTTAAATATATCACTTTAGACAAATATCAACTCAGTTTTATTAGATACCCTTGGATGAAGTAATGTATGACTACTGACATGTATCATTCAATTAAGTTTAGTCAACTAATTTTTTTGACTAAGTAGACTAGGGACCATGAAAACTCAGGAAGATGAAAATATAGGATCTTGATCAAATCCATATCATTCCCTCCATCATCCGCGTTAAATACAATATGGTAAATTTCAAATCCTAAATATCAAATCTATTGCTATTGTATGACATGTACTTAGTGCCTATCCGACTAGCAATTAAAAGTGTTCTTCTATCATCGGGAGGAGTAATTAACCATAGGAGCTTGCACTTATGAGGAACTTGAGGTTAGATTTTAAAGTCCTCGAAATATGAGAATGAAATATTTGGGTGGTATTTTATCTTTAATCTAATTTTACCTTCCAAAAATTTAGTTAGAAAAATACTCATTAAAACTCTCCCAAAATATGGGGAGGTCGAGGTGTGAAATTTTTTGAGCCCACATAATGAATACAATATTTTGAGAAAAGATTGATTTCCAACCCCTTGCCTCCTTAAGCTCCACCTCCCCTCTAAATTCCAGGAACTAGTCAATTGATATCAATGCCATTCAATTATACACATCAGCTACATCATTTGGTGTTAGAGTATTCATCCTTCACATCACACACTATATTGGGAGCTTGTGGTTATATATTCTTGTTATATTGATCTCCACAAGAGGGGATCCCTTCCTCCTTGCTCTCTCCTCCCTTCTTTCCTTCCTCCAACTGAATTCATAATCTCCTTCTATTTTTGAAACACTTCTAATTCAAGACCCACTTTCCCTTATCAATCAATAACAAAAGTGCTAGTTATCTTCGAGCCAAGGCAAGTTCTTTGCCTTCAAGTTGAGTCTCCCAATTCCAGAAACTAGTCAATTTATATCAATATCATTCAATTACAGACATCATCTACATCATTTGCTGTTAGAGTATTCATCCTTCACAGCACACACTATAATGCAAGCTAGTGGTATATATCCTTATTAAAGTGATCTCCATAAAGGGGATACTTACCGGGTGCTTTAGGATAAGGGCAGCCATAGACCTGCATTTGAAGAATTCTATCTAGATGTGCATAGACTCTTGGAGGTTATAGAGGGTGATGCTCTTAACCCTTCTCCAAAATGATAGTGCATTACTTATAATTATCAAGGTCTGTACCTTAATCCGTCTCCAAATTGGTAATGGGTTTCTTATTATGATCAAGCTCTTCACTTTGTCATTCATACAACATTCTTTTTTCTTGTGCCCATGAGAAGATGCAAAAAAGCTTAGAAGTTGTTTCAAGGTTGTGAATCTTTTGGTTGTGCAAGCTCCAAAAGATCAACAAAGGTCCTTAGTTAGCTTATGATTCATGAGACCTTTGGGGATGACTGATCACTCTCGTCAAGTGAGATCTTTTTTTGCATTACAATGATGTCCATAATATCAATCCAGAGATGTCCGCTCTAGGGGTTTACATCAATAAAAGCTGCTTCCTATATCAATAAACCGATCATAGATCTAGTGATGTCTTACCAAATAATCAATAACATTTTAACCACTCAAGCTATTAGGATATGATGATTTTGGCAGTTGTATTTGTAAGCGTAATTGCTAATAATTTGTTGATAAATTGAAGTATGCATATATCACACAAACATAAAAGGTTTAATGTTTTGCATGTATGACCCTAAATGAGGAGAAATTATTCTGTGCGGAGTCTGGATGAAAAGAACCGTCCGGATTACTGCGTATTTACTGAATATTTGCTACTCAGTAAATACGCAACAAATCAATAAATACTCAGCAAATATTCACAAAATACTCAGTAATATTCACAACTGAGTATTTGCTGAGTATTTATAAATACGCAACAAATACTCAGTAAATAAATAGTAATTATGGACGGTTCTTGACATCTGGACTCCGCACATAATAATTTCTCCTAAATTAGACAACTAAAATTTTTTTATTCTTACTGTATTGCACAAAGTTAACGTTCTCATGTTGAGTGTTTTTCACCCACTCAAGAGTAGTAATTGTTAAATTTTTGCTTTTATGACAATTTTCTTGTGCGGCATGGTTCTAGATTCACTTGATGCCAGCTTCATTTTAAAATCAATCATTTATATTTACTGATTTTTATTAGTGGTTTCTTTAACTACTAATTTTTGGGGCTTGCCACTATTATTATTCATCCTAGTTGTGCTTGTCAGTGTTTGGTAAATATGGCGAAAGCATGTATACAGTGAGATGATGTTTCTCTGCTCCTTTATATTACATGCTACTGACACTTGACGTATCACCTTAGCTTTGATTTTTTTTTCCTTAATTTTTTTGTTGTGAAAGACATGACTCATCTTTTTCAAAGCATGTCAAAGATGGCTTGGCATCTATGCCTTCTTGAAGCTATGCAACATGATTAGGTTTAGGATTTTTTAATACAATTAATATAATGCATAGTATGAATTCATGCAAAAGAACTTGAGGTTCATAATTCACAAAACACCAATTAAGTGGACTACTTCTTGTAAATGTAAACAATCTATATTGTATTTTGAACTCAAATGATTACAAAATGATAAAATTAAATTATCCATAATTCAGAATCATATAAAATCAACAAGCAAGTACAAATTTAATCAAATAAATAGAATTTAAATTGTCAAATTTGAACAAAATCAATATCACTAACAAACAAAATGAGAGCAAAAAATGAAAGTATCAACATTAAAAAGAAGGCTTCTCGTTACTTCAAGGAGATAACTTCTCCTAGAACTAGGTAGTCACATTTATATCATACTTAAAGAAGCCACACATCCAACTCACATTTTTTAAATTAAAAATTGGAGAGGGAATTTTATTCAGTCAAAGGTCTTCCATCACATGCCTTAAAGCATCTCTATATAGATTATTCATCCCATATAGGATCAACTCGATTTAAGTTTAAATTTATCTAAATTAATTCTAGTTGAATTTGGAATTTCTGAAATTTTCAATTCATAATCCAAACAAGCATCAATTTGTCAAAATCGAATCTCGAGTCAGAACCAAAGCCCCCTTAAACCTCATCAAAAGTGAACATAAAATCCATGCCCTCAATTCATGGGATCTTGATAGGCCACCAAAATTGTTAGCCACAACGCTTGCAAGAGATATGTAGTGCAAGAATTGCAGAAAGCTGACTAAAGGATAAGCCAACAACAACATTCCGAACACAATTCCAAAGAATAAAGCCAATAGCCACCGCCAAAGTAAGCTAAATAAAATAATTTTAGAACCACCAACCAAGAAATGTAGAAATCAGATTACTCCATAAACCAACTATTGCAGCAACTCCCACTGTCGCACAAGAACAAAATCGACATAGTACAACCATGTTACTACAGACACCACATTTCCTTGTGGAAATAAGCTTAAATTGAATCAAAACCAAATTCATGCCAAATGATATAAATTAATCTAATGCTAAGAAATAAAAGGAGTTCCTCTTTCAATGATCATCGTTGACATGTCTTCAATTATAAAGATAATAAAAGAAAATAAATTAACTACAACAACAACAACAACATCAAGCCTTTATCCCACTACGTGGGGTCGGCTACATGAATCCTTTTTCTCCATTGTGTCCTATTAAAAGCCAAATTCTCGTTTAAATCTAATAAAGAATCTTAAGATCTAAAATCTGATAAAAAGAAATTAAATCAACTGTAAATAGATGATTGCTTGATGTGATGTTTTCAAGGAGAACAAACATGGAGGTTTTCATCGCTAGGGCTTTGATACAGCGTTTCCTATTTTTGATGAAGCATCATTGGATATGATTTCCCTATTTTTGATATGCATTATTGGCAATTTTTTCTTTGGGTGAAAACTGCTTCTTGATTTCAAATGCTTCTCTCTGACACATGCAATTTGATGTATTCCTGATTATAGTTCTTCCTTTCTCTTTAGATTTCTGATACTTTTTAATCAAAAATTTGCCACATGCGCTTGACTACAAAACTGGCATTTTGTTTTACTGTTGGTGGTGCAGAGAAGTTACGTGAATTGGCATGGAGTGGTGTACCACCTTACATGCGTCCGCAAGTTTGGAGACTTCTTCTGGTATGACTTTTTATACTGGCAGTCTTTGATACAATTTCCTGTGCATTGTTGTACTTGAACTTATTTTATTCTAGATTTAGGTTTCGTTTGGGACAGTTTTTTTACTGCTACTTAAAATAACTTTTTAGCACTTAAAATTTTTGTTCTAGAAAATTGCTTTAAGAAGCACTAAAAAAGTCGTCCCAAACAAAACCTTAACAATAGTCCATTGGTTTGTTCTACACGTGACTGATAATTAATACTTCTTGTGGGCCAGTAACAAGTTTAGACTACAAGTTTCAGATTGCGCATAGCATCAAACCTGCATTCACAGTTAAGGCAAAGGAATATGCAATCAAACCTACATTCACAACTAAGAAAAAGGAATATGTGTCCATACTTCTACAATTTCTCCCTGACTTATGTTAAGTTGTAATAAAATAATTTAGGCCTGATCTTAGCTATTCAAATCCATAGTTTTATTTTGTAAGACATTGAGAGTAACAATATGTCACATACACCCTGTGATGCAACGCAAGAAATTAGATTTAAAATTTATTTTGGTTATTTCATTTAAATTAGGATTAATGAATTTATTGTAATTGAATTTAGAATTAATTATATGTTCAAATAATATTATGTTTGAATTTGAATTATAGATTAAATTTGATATCCATCTTTATATTTGGCAACCCCAATTTCATTAAATAGGAATTCTTAGCTTGTATTAGATTCAAGATCTCCCATACATGCATCGTTTAGTATCAGATTCAGGATCTAACTGAAGCTTCAACAACTCGAGAAGCTGCTTCTTCAAACTATTTTGCGTTGTCTACTACGCATTGCTACAAGGCTTGCTCGATGCACTAAAATTCCTCTTTCCTCGTGCAGGACTGTCACATTCTCTCTCGCTACAATGCTTGCATGATAAATAAGACCAGCTCACTCTCGCTCTTGCTCGCTTCACCGCACACCTGTATTGACTCATCTGTTTGAGTGCTTTCTTACTTGCACGCTTGCATGCATGCGTAATAGTTGCTTGTATGCACTCCTTGTTCTTCATCAATGTTTGATTGCAACCATCCTTCTGTTGATTTTATCAAAGCAAAACCATCCCAGACTTCCATCCCCTGTCACTCGTTCACTTGATCATCCTCATCTACAAATCAAGTGGTGTACATCAAATTATTAGTAAACCTTGGTCTCAAACTTTATAAATTTCTTCATTTAGTAGTTTCATTTCGTTGATACAATCAATGTAATTGAATTGTTCAAGATGCATGGTTTAGTCGTAGAAGATACATGACAACTACAAAAGCATGTCTTTGGAGTTCCAAAATTCTTAATAATCACTTATAGTCAACATTATTATTCTTTTCATATATTTCATCATAGTCATAAGCATCTCCCTCCTAAGGAATATTATTTTGATTATGATTTAGGTCTGGCTAAAGATGATTGGACAAAATATTTTGATAGGATATCAGTGCAGTAATTAAAAAATCCTTGGCTGAATTTGTAATTTTCAGCAAGGATCAAGCAGTTTTTGAGAGAAATCCCTAGGCAAGACACTAGGGAATTGATAGGAAAATAGAAGAAAAATAACAAGATACAAAGATCCGGCTCTCCAAATCTCTAGCCGGCGGCTAGAGCCCAACCACCTAAGAGAAAACTCAGAAAATCAACAAACAATCATCTAACCTTAACCCTAATCCCTTTCCTCCTATTAGAGAATACAAATTAAAAGCATAATTACTAAACAACCCTTCCCTAATTAATTTCCCTCCAAAACTGCCACCTCCTGTTTGAAGTTTTCATCAATGCATGGGGCCCACAAGGGTGGGCCGACTGCTTCCTGTCTGTCTGGAGTAAACTAGGAGCCGACCTTGGTTTGGGACCAGCTCGACCGGTCCATCTTAGGCCTGTTTATCAATACCTCCTCCTAAAAAATCATCTTGTCCTCAAGGTGGAAGGACAGAAACTGGAGTTTCATCCGCTCATACAACTCCCAAGTTGCATCGTACTATGGTAGATTTTTCCACTTAAACAACACTTCCTTACTTCCTCCTTCCCCTTGTCGTACTCCTACCAACTCCAGTGGTTTCAGAACTACCTCTAAGTCCTCTGTCAGCGTCACTGGTTGCTCTGCAATTGAGGTGTGCTCCCCTATAGCTCTTATCAACTGTGATACGTGGAAGATCGGATGTATGGTCGCAGTCGGTGGTGGCTTTAATCGATATGCCATTGCTCTGATCCTCTCAACTATCTGGAAAGGGCCAAAGTATTGCGGGGCCAGCTTCTCGTTCCTCTTATCAGCCACAGTCCGCTGCCTATAGCGACGAAGCTTCAAATACAACTTATCCCCTGCCTCAAACTGAATGTCTTTCATGTGCTCATCAGCCAACCTTTTCATAATCTATTGGGCTCTCAATAAATGTCTTTTTAGTTCTTTTAATATCCTGTCCCGCTCCTCTAAGTACTGCTCCAATGAAAAGACTAATGTGCTATCATGCCCAAAGTGCACCAAGTGAGACAGATCCTTGCCATACAATACTTTAAAAGGAGTCATCTGGGATGACGAATGGTATTGAAGTGATGTACCAAAATTTTGCCCACGCCAAACATCTGAGGTGTCCCTGAAGCAAAACATCATATATATATATATATATATCTCTAAACTCCTTTTGACCACCTTTATATGACCGTTAGTTTGAGGGTGGTATGTGGTGCTCCTCTTAAGCGCAGTCCCCTGTGCTCTCTCCAAGAGTGACCGAGGAACACCTTTTCTCGATCAGACACTATAGACTCTAGTATCACCTATGTTGCACCGATACACCTATTTATGAAGGCGTGCTGTATCCGATACACCGATACACGGATACGCCTCTGATACTCCACCGATACGTGTCGGATACGCCAAAGCCGTTTCCACTTAAAATACTATTTAATTTCAAAAGTACACGCGTATCTGATACACGTGTCCCTTGAAAAACAAAAAGAAATCCGAAAAAAGATGTGTCGTATTTACTTCCGCGGTTGCGAGCAAGATTCTCTCATTTCCGAGATGAATTTGAGTCTCTTGATGATATGAAAATATTAAAATTTACTAAACTTTCACTTGATGAGACTAAATTAGATGATATGATATTTATTGAAGATGGTATATAAGTTCTAAGACAAACAATTGAAGAAGATAATTATATCATTCCTTCTATTGAATAGTTGAAACTTCATGTGCTAGATAATTTATGTTTATGCTTTTGTTGTTGTACTAGACATTTAATGATGTTGTTGTCATTTTTTTTTTGTAATTCCAAATATTATGCTTTGATTGCTTTCTTAATTTTTATGTATGATTTATAAATTATAATGCCGTGTCCGCGCCGTACCCGTATCCTATATTTTTAAGAATTGACGTGTCCCGTATCCGTATCGTGTCGTATCCGTATCGCCGTATCCGTATCGGTGCAACATAGAGTATTACATGTAATCTGACAACTTCTCTAATAAAAGATGATGCTACTGTCTGTAAGGATGTCATAGAGGGATGAAATGAGCATATTCTGCCTGGGAGTGCCAATGGCTGTAGTAGCCCTCATGGAGACATTGCCATATACTTATTCCGCTGACATACCTCACACTTGATCACCATCTCCTCGACATCCTTATTTTGAAAATATGGGTTCAAGTACTATAATTTTAATTATAACAATTATTATTATTTAGCACTTGAAAGTTTGTGAGGGTTCTTAAACCCTAAAAAATTAGTCCCGATGCTAGCTAAATGGGGGGTGAATTTGTTAATTTAAGAATTTCTTTAACAAATGAAAAGTTAAAACCCCTTGATGCAGAAGTAAAACTAATTTTACAATAACAACAATCAGATATTTCAAACACAAATCAAATCATAGAAAAATGCGGAAATTAAAATGCGAAAAAATAAATAGAAAGAACACACCAAAATTTATAGTGGTTCAATCAACTTAACCTACGTCCACTCCTTAGAGATTCCCTCTCCAATTATTGCACTAAACAAAAGTGACTCTCCTTTTGCTCCCACAGCAAGGCGAAGAAGCCCTTACAAAATCTTTCCACCGACCCGGTGAGGCAGAGAACCTTGAATCCTTTTACTCCCTCATGGAGTAGGCATAGAACCTGAAAATCCTTTTTCACTCACCTGGTGAAGGCATAGAACCTGAGAATCCTTTTACTCCCTCATGGAGTAGACAAAGAACCTTGGAATCCTTTTTCACCCACTTGGTGAAGGCAGAGAACCTAGATCTGGTGTTGATGAAGATCTCCCCCAAAGTCACCAAGGAACCAGAAAAGAAACTTGAAGAAGATGATGAACACCTTGCTTGGAGCAACCTTTGTGAATCCCTCACAACTCCCCCTCACAAGGATCTCTCTCTTTCCCTAGCTCTCCCTCTTCCTTTTCTAAGCTCTCTCTTAGATCTCCTCCACAAAAGATTATCTCAAGTGACAATGAGAGAGTTTAAATAGAGAGCCTCCAAAAGAAGCCCTATTTCAATTCTATGCTACTGATCATCTAGTACGATCCTTAGATCGTCCTGCATGATTATAAAACATCCCTTTTAGCCAGTACGAATTGCATTGCCCTGTACAATTAGTTCAACTGAAAAAGCCAGATCTTCCTGTACGATTAGTATAAAATTATTGAACTTCGTCTAGTATGATGTCCGGCAATGCCTTATCGTCCCATGCACTTTTCTATCATCTAGTACGAAAGGGGTCTATCGTCCTGAACGATTAGGTGAAAATTTATGGTATTTGTCTGGTACGATAGTTGACAATCTCTTATCGTTCCATACATGTTCGTTGTCGTCCAAGACAATCGTCACTGATCGTCCTGTACGATTGTAACAAATTAAGTTTTACCATAATTGTTCTCACAGATTAATTTAGGCATGATTGTCCTTAATCATCCAGGACGATCTACATCATCCTGTACGATTAACACAAAATTTAAAAATTAAAATATTGCCTAAATTGTGATTGAT